CTCTCTAGACTTGGGGGGGCGGGGGGGGGAAGCGGGGGCAATCCATACTGAGGGAGGGTATTTCTTAATCAGAGGTCCTGAGGGAACCAACTAGCTCTTGTGTCCTGAACTGACAGTGGTTTGGTGGCAATTTCAGCACTTAAGGATCAAAGAAATAACCATGTGAAAACTAGAGGACCCCTCTGGCTTGGAGGGAAGTAGTAAAATAAGTCTGGTGAGCATGGTACCGGTGGGGTCAGCTGACTTGAGTTCCAGTTCCCACTCAGCTGCTTACCAGCTCGAGCAAATGACAGAGCTCCGTGGCCCAGTTTGACTGCGGAGGCGGGGAGTATGTGGGCGTTCCCTCAGAATGCCGGAAATGGAAATGGCCCACCGGTTAGAAGGCTTGGGGAGTTGGGCTCTGGTCCCTACTCTTTCACTCTCCAGGTTTCTGAACTTAGGCAGGTTCCTTTAATTCAGAGCCTGCTTTCATTATTTAATTTATAGGGTTAATTGAGAAAATATAGTATAGGTAAAGCACCTTTCTATCCCTTAGTGAAGTGCTTAATAAATAATAGTTATTGAAATGATCAGTCACTGTTGCCATTATTATTTATTGTTGGGTGAGGGTGGATGACGACTCCCATCCCCAACCCCTCCCCTCTTCCCCTCCTCCTCCCAGTTGGCTTCTCCTCCACTGCTTCTTGGGCCAGGAGCGCGCTCTGGGGGAGGGGGGTGGAGCCTCACTCCAGTTTGGCCAGAGCCTGCTAAGAAGGGACCGGCCACTGAGTCGGGCTTTGCACCTGACTAGACACCTCCCTGCTTGCGTCCTTCTAACGCAGCCCTCCTCACCACCCAGGGCCCTCGCTTTCTGAAGCAGTCATGCCTGGAACAAAGAGTGCCAGGGGTCCCCAGAGAGCTGTTGACCTCAAACTGGACCTCAGGTCACCTCTCAAAAGTGCCAAGAACAAGGACTCCGGTTTCTTGGATGGGCGCCCGTCGGAGTTGCCGGTCTTGGAGAAGACCAACGGCATAACGTGAGTGCTCTTTCCTCCCGTCCCCTGTCCGCCCTCCTGCCTGGAAGCTTGAGTTGGCAAAGACCCCGGGGTCAGGGTGGGCGGTGGGTGAGGGGATGATGGTTGTTTGCATCTGGTCACACCCCCTTCAGGGTGGGGGTCCCCACTGGGGTGCCTG